CGACCACGACCATCGACCACGACCATCGACCACGACCATCGACCACGACCACGACCACGACCACTACCACTACTACTGCTACTGCTGCTACTACTACTACTACTACTCCTACCACTACCACTACCACTACCACTACCACTACGACGACGACAACAACTACTACTACTACCACTACTACTACTACTACCACTACTACTACTACTACTGCTACTACTACTCCTCCTACTACTACTCCTCCTACTACTACTACTACCACTACTACTACTACTACCACCACCACCACCACCACCACTACTACTACTACGACTACGACTACGACTACGACTACTACTGCTACTGCTACTGCTACTGCTACCTCTACTGCTACTGCTACTGCCACCACCACCACCACCACTACTACTACTGCTACCACTACTACCACTACTACCACTACTACTACTACCACTACTACTACTACTACCACTACTACTACTACTACGACTACTACTACTACTACTACTACGACTACTACTACTACGACTACGACTACGACTACTACTACTACTACTACTACTACTACTACTACTATACGACTACTATACGACTACTATACGACTACTATACGACTACTATACTACTACTATACTACTACTATACTACTACTATACTACTACTATACTACTACTATACTACTATACTACTACTATACTACTATACTACTATACTACTATACTACTACTATACTACTACTACTACTACTACTACTGCTACCACTACTACTACTACTACTACTACTACTACTATACTACTACTACTACCACTACCACTACCACTACCACTACCACTACCACGACGACGACGACTACTACTTCTACTACTACTGCTACTACTACGACGACGACTACTAGTACTACTAGTACATGGCCGGCCGGCCGCTATGGCCAGTTGGCCGGCCGGCCGCTATTTGGCCAGCTGCCGGCGAAATAGCAAGCCGGGTTGCCCGCGCTGCCCACATTTTTCAGCGCGTAGCTGTCGCACCTGAGCCGCTTAGTGATCTCGGGGTTCGGCCACGCGGTGCTTGTCCAGCGATGCAGGAGCCCCCGGGGCTGGTGGCCTCCCACCACAGATGCTGCTCAGCTCCGATGGCGACGAAGAGGAGGCGACGGAGACCCGCGTGGCCAGGCGAGGGCTCAGCAGCTCATTTTGTTTAGGCAAGCCCTTTCTAGGAATAGGAACTTGGGGTATCCATGCTGCCCGTGACCAAGGCTCCACATTGTACTAGAAAGTTCGCAGAAGATATCGGAACCCTCAGTTTGAAGCATCCGCACTCCCGCTTCTGCTCATATGAGGCCACGGTCCACGGGTCCTGCGCTGGACATAAAGAACCTGCATCCAGATTTGGTTGTTTGGCCGCATTTGACTACCTGCAAATTATATAGATGTATGAATCAGGCGATGTCCAGATGGGGGAGTTCAGGGCAAACATGGCAACCGGAATCAGAGAGCCGAGGTGAAGAAGAAGATCTTAGAGGTGGCTCTCAGCTTGACTGGTGCTGCTGAAGATGAGATCGAGGCATGGATGGCAGGTTTGAAATGGTGATCGACCCGACCAAGTGGTCAAGCGGTAGAGAGGGCCTCCTTCTTTGGATTGTTCTTCTGGCTTGCGCCAAAAGAATTCAAGGATAGTATGGTATTTGTAATAGTCTAGAGTCTAGTTGTTGTGACCTGGCTTGGAATTCGTTCCTTGTATATATATATATATAGATCTTTGCAGAAGGCGGGGTGCGCGGTAGACCAGAGAGACATAAAGAAACTGAAAAAGTTCAGAGGCTCGTGCAGAGATTTGGACAATGTGCTGCTGAGTTGCTGACATTCTTGTGCCCAAGAGAAAACGCATCAGCTGGGACAGGTTGATACTCCTCTCATGGAGGCCGGCTTAACAAGCAGTATGGCTGTTGGGTCGGCAGCTTATCAGTTCGGTGCCTTTGCAGGTATGAGGGCAAGGTGGTTGGAATGTGTTTTCCAAGGCTGTCAGACGAGTTGAAGAAAGATCTCCCTGGAATCAACTTGCCAGTGACTCTGGTCTTCGACTACCCTTCCATTTCCGCTATGGCGGAGCTGATCCTGGAAGGAGACTGAGAGAGATCCAGACGCAGGGACCAGCTGCAGCAGCTGTACACATCCCAGTTGCGCAGCGCCGGACCTCGGGTCCCCATGTGAGACCCGCTAGGCGGCTTCGATGTGCACCACAGATGCCGGTGGAATGTACCTCACCCTTCTTACTTGTCCGAGAGAATGCCTGTTTTCGTGTGAGGGTCGTTGAGCATTTAGTATATAACTAGTATTGTGTGAAGATACTCCTGGTCAACAAAGAAAACTGGAGTGTGGTGCAGTTGTCCGATTGGACACATGGCAGCGTATGGTGGAGGTAAAGCAACCACCTTCTTCCACAGGATGGGTGACATTCTTGCTGCTGAACCAAAAATGTGCGCTGATGCCGCTTGGCCTTAGGGCCCCGCCAGGATATCCTTCAATTCAACGCTGATATGGCTCGAGACCATTTTGGACCTCTCTTGTTTCTTATATATAAGTCCCTACTCTCTCCTCCGCACAGAAACCATTTCAACAGGTTCACGTTGGCTCATGCGTTGTCAAGACGTCGGAGTCTTCTGGGCGTCCAAATGACGGCAGGCCTTGGAGACGCTTTGTGCTTTTTTGGACACTTTGGGGTCCACCTTCGACAAACCACAGTGGTCTGGCTACGCCCGCTGGGAGGAGGTCTTTCGGAAGGCGTGAGGGCTGTTTGGATGTTTCTGCTGGTTCCGAAGATGGCGGAGACAGGAAGACCAGCTCGCCAGAGATACATGACACAAGATCGTGGGAGTTACTCGGCACATGTGCACACACACACAAAGTCACAGTCACATGTACCGTTTCAACATAGTCGGTAGGTAGTCTGAAACGTGCAGCTGCCTCCTTCCTGCGGACAGGTGAAGCTCTTCACCGAGGACAAGATGCAGAGCGCGCGTACTCGCTGCCTTCTGAAGGACCGTTCTCGCACACGGCCTGTGCTTCCCCAGCATACAAAGCATTCAAGGCATTTGCGGCACTTTCTGGTCGACAGTCTCCATATTTGGCCATCAAACTCTGACGTGACGTGTCAGGATTTGCTGGACAAGCGTCAGAATGGTTGGCAAGAGAAGAAGGTGCACAGCAAGATGATGAAAGACGTCGCCTGTCCGCAAGTGTGTGCGGAGATGACGACGCGGCCAAGGCGCTGGGCCAAGAATTTCTGTAAGGGAGCCAGGCACGATGAGCAAAGGTGCTGGCGAATAAAAAGATTGAAAATTGCGCAACCTCTCTCTACCTACCATTTTCAGACAAGTGTTTCATTTCATATCTCATTATACAACCCCCTTTGGAGCCAAGTGCTTGTTGGGCTGAGACTTTCATGTGGTAGGTCTTCTTTTTCCTTGGCTGGCATCACCAAGGACAAAGTGGAGAAAGTCGAGAAGAAGACTTTGAATGGGATTCGTGTTAGCACGTATTTTGTGAAACTACCGCATTCTTGCTTTGCAGCTTCACACTCTGAATGTGCTCTCAAGCAAACACGGCAGCCAGTATGGCAGCCATGAGTGCGTCTCGTTGCGAAGCCTGGGATCAGCGGTGTTGTTTCCATTTTCGATGTCACTGCAGTCTCATCCCTTCCCTGATTGCCCGTGAGTGTCTTTGACTGAAGCGATTTGCCGATGTCCATGTGTACAGGTTCGTTATGAGATGTGACATGTCCCACTTGATTCAGGAAGAGAGCTTAGAAATCACACACCTGCTTGCCGAGGGCAGATGCTAAGATGGCAAGCTCACCCTTTTCGAATGTTTGGGCCTCAAGAGCTACAGGAACAAACATATCATGGTGAAGATGTTTGCAAAGAGTCGATGCATGTCCCGTGGGTGGACCGGTGCTGCGCCAAGGGAAAGGTGGAGAAGAACTCCAATGGGCTTCCTGTCCCAATTAGATGACGTGCAGGTTCAACGGGACTGCTTTAAAAAAAGGTACAAAAACATGTACCGTATGCCGTATGAGGGGCACATTCGTCGGCTGCGAGTTTTTGAGGTGGGAGAGAAAGGTCTGGACGGATGGAAAGGTGAGCTTTCATCTTCCGGTGGGGGGGCCCTATCAAGCCTTGAAATGCGATAGCTTTCTGTTTCCTTTCGACCCGATAGAAGTGGTCACAAGGACGCCTATTTGCTCACACACACCCTTCACACGCCTGAGGCATCTCGAGAGGTCCAGCGGGTCATGTGAGCCAAAGGAGTGGGTGGGGGTGGAGCCACGGAGGATCGATTCTGAAGGCGAGCTTCAAAGCTTCCAAAGTTTCTGGTACTCAAAGCCATTTTACTTGATCAGGCAGGTTGTTTGAAGTTTTTTGTGACATCGTGCTTTCATAGAGAATCTCAAATGGCATCTAAGCTGGACCCCGCACGGGCATTTACATCGGCTAGATTTGCATCCTACGATTGTTTGGTGCATCCCAGGAGCTGCGCATTCACGTGCCCGCTCTATTTTCCATAGCGCGCTCCTGTTCGTGAATATGCGCCTGAATTTGTGGCGAAACAGCCCTTGAATCGTCTAAAACATACCCTTGCTTGGTGCTGCAATAGATTCTCTTTTTGCTGGGGGGCACTGATTGCCGTGTTTGTCCGGTACATTTCTAAAAGATTCTAACAGATGTTGTGGAAGCAACAAATTCGCCATGGATGGCACTCAGCCCCGTTTTTTGAAGGCCGACCGACCTTTTGAAATATGAGAACTGCTAGTTGAGCCAAAATGATGGCTGTGTGAACTTGGACACCTGCGAGCACAGTCCTTAGCTGCGCCATCTTCAACAAGAAGGCCAGCTCGGCTCGAAAGCTTCTTAGCTGACCGCTTTTGACAATGGTCCGGTAGAACTCACCGCTGAGTGTGTGTCAGTGTGGTAAGACTGCTAAGACTTGCTTAAAAACTGCTAAGACCGGTTGGATGCGTTCGGTGACCTCTACCGGTCCACGACAATGTTTGTAGATTCTAGATAATGGAGATTGGGTTGCTTTGCCCTACTGGCGCATGACAAATGGAAGTGGCTGCGGCTTTAAGAAGAAACAGCAGCGGCAGGGGCCCAACCCGGAGACATGCAGAGCCAGATGCCTTTGTCATCAGTTGACGCTGCAGAAGTGGCCATTTCCGAAGGATAGTGCGCAGTGAGGTCAACTTCCAACATGAACCCCCGTCAAGGCATGGGATGCAGAAGCACACAGTCCACATAAGCTCCCGTCCCGTTGTGGATTGGGAGATTTGACCTGGAAGAACGCCCCGCGTCATTCAGGCTTCTTCGTGAGAGGACTTTAAAAAATCCTATGAATGTTTATGTGCTTTTTGGGCCAATGCGGGAAGCTTCTGAGCTAAACCAAGTCATTCCATGCCAGCATCCGGAGACGAGGTATTAAATGATTAGTTTTCTTGCAATTTCACCAGCGGCTTCTATTAGGGAGGCCGGAGTGCCTGCAAACGTAAGCAGTGTGCCATGGGACTTTTGCCCGAGCAGTTTTTACCTGTCCCGCTACAAGCTTCACATAAGTCTCGCTGATTTGCAGCAGTCCCATGTGCCAAAATCACTTCGGTTTCGCCTCTCATATGAAGGCAGCTTGGTGTCACCAGGGGCAGGCCTCACTTCTTGAGACACCAAGATTTTCTGATTTTCTGACCTAGGAGGAACCAATTTTTGGTTTGGGGCCATGCCTGCATCTGGGTGCCATGCGAGATTGCTTCTGTTTCACTTGCCATAGCTCGCTGGGGAACCTCCGAACTGTGAACAAGAAGCAGCGTTGGTCGAAGTGGACTTGGGGGGCTTTTCTTGTGCTTCGAAGCAGGTCATTGCCAGCATTGCCTTATTAGCACCCAGCGTTGTTGTCAGAGAGCCATCGGTTCCGTTTTTTTGCGCAGAAAGAAGCGCCCAGGCAGAAGCGGAATCAATGCCTGAAAATGGCACTGCGCAGGTGTGACGGGTCGATACCATGCGTTGCTGTGATCAATTTTGTATGTTTCCAAGCCAGACAAAGCTGGCTTTGTCATGGTGGAGCATGCTGTGTGGCCTGAGTGCCAGGTGTCTGAATCACATAGCAAGCAGTTGGAGGTCGGAAATTGTGGCGGTAAAGTGCAGGATCAAGAGAAATCATTCAGAAACAACATGAAACGCCTTCGCTGGGGCTTCGTTTTCTTTATGCACATGGACACACAGTGCCAGAGCCTCTGCGCTGTGAGGCGGCGCTGAGCCAAACGATCCAGCGCCTGCGACGGAAGGAGTCCAAGGCAGGAACCCGATGAGAGCTCCGTCGAAGGAGATATGGCAGATGCCATGGCGTTGAAGCCAACGAGTGCGGGATTGCCCCAGTCAGTCAGTTGGTTTTCAGCGACGATGTGTGACTGCATGGGGTCCTAATATGTGGTCCTAATATGTCCTAATTCTTAATCAGATTGACCAGTGACAAGTTGAGAGCACGGCGTCAAGCAGTTTGAGCCTTTGAATGCTTCAGCTTTGCGGCCCTTTTCTTACCAAGAACCTGTCTTGGCTTTCGAAAACTTCTTGTTGAAACATGAGCATGACAGCGTTGGCCATCGCCGCCCGGCTGCCCAGTGACTTAGTGTTTGCTTAGGGCCTAGTAATTATTTGCCGCCAGGAGGAAGTGGAAGCACGAAGGGAACGTGAGAAGAAGGAGACTGCAGATTTCTTAACTGCCAGTCCTTGCTGGCTGGGAGCTGCCATTGACCATGCAGATGTGTGATGCGGCCTTCGAGCCAGGAGCAGGAGGAAAGGGAGGCAGAAGAGCAGGAGGCATTACTGAAGGGTTGGGCGGGCAGAAGGGTCGATTACACCAGGTAGTCAGGCCAGGTGATGCCCTTCCTAACATGAAACTGCGTCATGTGTGAAGACTGCCTGGTTGTGACTTCAAGGCTGTGAAATGGTCCTTGGGGGTCCTTTGATGGAGCATGCAGAGTGTTCACCCATGGGTGTGGCATGTCACACGTCCTGGGGGTGGCGGCCGAAGGAGCAGCAGCGGGAGGAGCTCCGCCGCAAACGCCGGGCAGAGCGCCTCTTGCGTGAGAGTGGCTTGGACAAAACGTAAAGCGTTAGAGGATCAGCATCAAATATCACGATACAGTGCTGTGGTTGGTGGATGTTGGCGTTGCTAACGGCTAGTGAAATACTAGTGTATACGGTATACTTCATTAAGTCCAATGCAACATCATTCATGTGAAAGTTTCTAGACTTGTCTCGACCAGAGGGACTCTTGGACTGGGAGGCAGGAATCAGCGATCTCACATGTGTAGGGTGTTTTGCAGCTCCACAATTTCTGGCCGGGGTGGTGAAGCAGCCAAACCCTTGGTTCTGATCACCTTCAGAGTCGAGTTATTTGTGCACTAGTTCTGGCTACTGTGATTAGTGCATCGGTTGCTTGAGGGGTATTAGTGTTCTGCCGCCACATGGCCACCTTGCCAAGGCCAGTCCAGAAAGAAGCTGCTTTGGTCCCAGAGATTGTTGACGGATATCGCTGCACGCTGCACTCTGAAACTAGGATTTCCATAGTCCTGTACCCCTGAGTAGCTGGCTCTGGCCCAGTGTTTTGCCAAGAACACCTGGGGAGGAAGGCGATGGTAGATTCTGGTACGCCTTGGAAGCCTTTTGGCCCGAGGAAGTGCTGCGTTGCGATGGAAGATGAGGAGGACGGCCCGAACACGGCCACCGTCCGACCGCCACCGTCCGGGCCACCGTCTCGAAGGGCGGCCCGGCGATGCCGCGACGGTGGCGACATCCGGTGCAACGCATGCAGGAGAGCGACTGAGCTGTGCTGCCGCGCTGCCCCTGGATGTTTGGACACTGGCATTGTGAGAAGTTTTACTCCCAAATTGCAAGGTGTAAGCAAGCAAGAGCCACTGGCCGCTAGTCCATGCCAGACCTTTGAGATGAACTTTTTTTGTTTGCATCCAACTCATGCCGCCTGACCGCCTGACTTGCCCAATGGCCTAAAGCTGTCCTTGAGCACCATGCAGGAGTGTCACATATGATGCTGTTGTTGGGAAACAACAAAAGCACAACAGGCTTGAAGATCATCCAGCCACATCTGGCCTGCTTGAAGATCATCCAACCTGCCATCACCCTGCCATAACGGCCTTTGCCACACCCGTTTTCCGGCCGGCTTTCATGTGCTCCACGGCACGGCTCCGCGGATGTGAACGGCACGCAAGGCGCGCAACCAACGATGTGAGCTGCGTGCGCCGCGCTTTTGGCGCGGAGCACGTGGTGGATTTGACCTCATCAAAACGAATCGTTGGCCCAACAAGAAACCATGGGCACATGAAGTTCTGCAGGTCAACAACTGTTCATCACAGTGCTCGCACTGTGAGCATAGGTCCAGGTGTTCATGTGGAGTTGATGGATGAAGTGCCGCACTCATTGCAGGTATCGGCGGCTTCTGGACCAGCCGGTCTTAAAACCTCTGAAGCCGGTCGAGGTGAAGGTGGGTTTGGGTTGTGCTGGCGTTCTTTTTTTCCCACCGTAATGGGGTGATCATGTCAGGCAGATTTGTTCAATTTATATAGATCCAGGTGATGGGCCGAATGCCGGTTCGGAAGGCAAAGAGGCAGTTGGTACTGATCCCTTCAAGACATTGTTCGCGTTTCGTATTTTCAAAGGGTGTTTCATTTCCATTTCTCGAACTTTGATGGAGTATATAGTTGAGCAGGGGTGGACCAAAGGGTGACAGTGTGACAATGATGGTTGAATATTCCGTTGTCGCCGCCTTGTATTCTGCCAACTGCAAAAACAAAGATTGGCAAAGACACACCCCCAAGCCGCTTCAACAAGTTCCGCCAGGAGCCGCAGACGCCGACGGTTCCAGCGCTGCGGGCGCAGGCTTGGGACGAGCTCCGACCAGCCACCTCGCCGGCTTCGGCATCTGAGCCATCGCCGGTGAAGCGTGGTGTGCGGCGCAGGTCCTCTGTGCGTTGCCGCTCTGTGGATTTCTCTGGAGTGTCTGAGCAGAGGATCGGTCGGGTTTTGGTCACGGTTTGGTGACTGACCTGAGACAGATCGATGAACAGATAGAAAGGCAATTCAGGTTTTCGCTCTTCGTGATGCGGGGCTTCTTCCATCTCAAGGACGTCTCAGTTGGATTTCCACGGAGAGTCGAAACTGAGGATTCCCAGAACAGCCCCTTGAAGGGTCGCCTGCAACGAGCGCTGGCACTACGGCGTGCCAGCCAGACAGACTCTTGGCACTCTTGTTTCTTTGAAAGGAGCCAAGAAGTCCGGGTGTAGCTACTTGACATCGGGATGCTGCTTCAGTAAAGAGCGGGAAGGAAGTTGAATTCGATAGGTTTGATTCTTCACGCTGTCATGTTCACCGTTCTTTTTTTGAAGGGGGCTAGGTGTGTGAGGGGTCTTGGCCAAGCTGCATAAGATGTTGTAGCGCTTTCCTTTGGTCGCGCGAGGGATAAAAGAAGCACCCTCATTTAACAAGACCGGACTGTCTAAGAGGAGCACAAGATATGGTGGAAGCCTTTGATACAATGGCAAGGCATACCTTTGCCTCACCGAGGGAGCTGACGTGCCGACCCATCGGCGCTTAACCAAGAGGAAGGCCACTTGCCACGTCGACATCATTGAGGGGCGTCCAGTAAGCAAGGCTGAGCGGGAGAAGTGGGACACAGCCCCTCGCTGCAATCATCAGGAGGGAAGGCTACAATAAGCTTCTCACAGGCGCTTTCAATCAAGCCCAAAGCCATGCGCGGTCTGTATTCTGTCCACGCTTATAGCTTTCACATTCATTGTGAGGCCTCCTTCATTTTCCAAGGCCTTCGCACGTTACCAAATGGATGGAGAGATCCACATTGACGACCTAAAGGGGGCGCTGGTGATGTGTTCCTGGGCAGATTATGTGCTTTGTGCGTATCAGGTCCCCACATACTCGTCCGCATCTAATCTATATGGCGGAGAAGCAGATCACCTTGAATCATTGAGTCCAATCGCCACCAAAAGAATGCTGTTTCAAGTTAGCCTGGTTCATGGTTTGTCAGTAAAAATCGGTAGAGACGCAGATCTACCCCAGGTGGATTCTGTGATTCGCGTGCTGCAGTCGTGCACAAAGTCTTGGCGGGGCTCACGAAATTCAACACCCTGAACAAGGCAAGATCAGACCATTTATGTTGACATTTCGCTCTAGGTAGATGGTAGTTGGCACCATCCACCGGCCAAGCTGGTCCGTTGGAGGACGAGTTCTACCTTTTCGTATGCCGTTTTGAAGCAGGGCTACATGAGACCTACGAGTTTGAGTTCAGCCAGCTAGACACTTGTGGAGAGGCAGGGGGTCATCAAGCCAAGTGGGCATAGCTTGCAGCTGGAGAGACCGTTTTGGGGAACCCCGGCGAACCCCCTATTGGGCTTTGAGCCAAGAGCTGACCATCACAGTCACACTATTTTCATCTATCACGGTGGAGACCAATTCAAACGTTTCCACCCACTCAACAAGGTATATAACCTAGAAAAGATCATTTTTGAGGTGCTGCGCGCTTTTCCGGGGAATTGCAATTCTTCGTTGGCTTCTGTTCACACTGCAGCATTGGTCCATGTCATTAATTTGCAGTCACAAAGGCCAGCGCAAAAGAAGCATGGATGCCTCATGGAATTCTGTCACCCCAATGTTTGGCCAGGGCACCATTGATGTGCTTCAGCTTGAACAGCTCCTGCGCCGCATAGGGCAGCCAGTGCGCAGGCGCGGCCTTCGTTGGACTGGCCGGGAGAGCCTGTGTTCTGTCCCATGTCCATTTTCCATGTCTAGCTCTGGTGACAAGAAGTGCTGATTGATGCTGATTGGCTGATCGCAGAGAATCTTCATTGCGTTGGGTTTGCCAGCACAGGTTTGTGCTTCGGGAGTTGGTGATGGAAGTTGGCACCGACGGCGCTGGTCTCGTTGATCTCAGTTCCTTCCTCAGAGGTTTTGGTAGCTTCATTGCCGAGACCAAAAAGGCAAACAGCTTGGAACCTGTTTGCTTTCATCCAAGGTGGGTTTCGAAAGATCCAGCATCTCATCCGGAAGCGTGAAGGCATTTGGAAACGAAAGCATCATTGGAAACATGATTCTTTACTTTTTTATAGTCAAGCTTCCCTCCACTATGCACCAATAATTAATCAGCGGTGTTTTACTTTCTCATTCCTACACTTGGTCTCCTACACGATTCATCCACCCCCCAAATTAATGGGCCCGTGCAAACTCTCATGCGGTGACAGGTCACCTCCCCAGGCCCCCAGGCCACCGCCCTTGGCGGGTTCCGAAGCCGAAGCCGGTCTTGTTACTAGTTACTAGTAGCTTCTTGTTACTAGTAGTAATGCCCTTGTTACTAGTAGTTTCTTGTTGCACGGTGCCAGGCTTCACGACCAAAGAGCTGGACTCCTTTGATTGGGTCTTCCAGCGGGTCGACCGGGACGGGAGCGACACGATGAGCGCCAGCGAGTTCGCCAATGCGTTGACCTGGTTGGGCTTCCCCTACCGAGCTGAGAAGCTCCAGGCGTGGCCAGATGGGCCAGATCGGCCAGATGGGGCAGGGGTGCTGGTGATGGCAGTTCTTGTGTGTTTTTTTTCAGGTCATGAGGATTGACCTTGGTGATGCATTTGTCCCAGCAATTTTGAGGAACTTTACTCTGGCAACCTTGCATGGAAGGGCAATCCTTGAAAGCCACTCTACTTTCGTTTCGATGATTTGGTTTGAGTGTCCTGCCAGGAGTTCCATCGGCAAAGTGACGTAGATGGGGATGGCGAGCTGAGCGAAGGGGAGTTCATTGCCTGCCTTCGGAGAGTACTGGATGAGGAGATGGAGCAGCTGGGCAAATGGAGAAGACAGGCTACGGTTACGGTTTAGTTTTCACAGCATTGAAGAACCTGGGAGATTTTGCAAGTTCTTGGGCATATGAAGATATATGAAACGCATGAATGAAGCCCAGTGAATGTCGAAGCCGGTCCACTTCTGCACCCTGGGTTGTTGCTTTCCCCCCAAGAACCGAGGCAAGTGGAGGCATTTTTAAACAAAGCCCGTCCTTGCACAGGCCGGGCGAGTTTAGTCGTTTCATTGTCAGCCGTTCTATAGGCATTCTTCCAATGTGGGCTAGGTGGCCGGCTGAAAGCCTTCATCCACGGCTTGGGCTATTCATCCTCCCCGCAGGCCTGGGTCCATGCCCTTGCCAACAGTCTTGATTTCGTCCATTGGAATGTGTTGGGGCATGGCAATCAGTGGAGCAATAAGAGCTCTTGGCAACTGCTTACACTATTGGTTTGCAGGGTTTGGTGGACTTAGCTTTAGTGTTTCAACCGCAGGCGATTCTGGATACGCTATCCGAGACGGTAGATGTTGGGACACAGGTGGGTCAAGCACAATGAAGCCGCATGGGTATTTGCACAGAACATTGGCAGTGGCATTTGGGTTGACAATGGCTTGTTCACTTGCTTGACATGGCCCCTCCCTGAACGTGGAGGCCAGCTTGCAAGAGATGACATTGGATCTGAGTGTGGACGACGTCTGCAAAGTATTGAGCCTACTCCTCAGTTTCACAGACCACTCCATTGTCATCCTTCCTAGAACGATGCAGAACACATACAAAAGCCCCATACCCTTCAGTCAACAGCAGGACTAGGTCAGGATTCTCACAACCCTGCTTGCAAACTTCAATAAGGGATGATAAGGGCCTTTCTTCTCCAGGAGTCGGCCTGTTCTTGGTGTGCAGGTAGCTTGCGGGCATGTGACGGCTTCACCTACAGTGAGTTGAGGGAGGTGAAGATGGCCTTCAACCTCGCCAACCCGGAGAAGCAGGACCTCCATCGCTTCAGAGTTGCCCCGTTGGATGGGGTTGGACCATGACGGAAGTGCAAGATGCTGCCGGCGAAAGACCAAAAACAGTGCTGGCTGGATTGCTTTGCTAGCTTGTTACACACTGCAGGAGCAACTGCAAGCTCCAGCCATCAGCAGGGCTCTTAGAATTCTGGGGCACCCTTTGCCTTTGCCAGAGATCTTGCGGCTCATTGCGGAGGCATGGATCCAGGTGGTTTGATCTGGGCGATCAGGGCCCCCAACCAACCCCTTGACATACGTCTCGGGTACTGGGAGGGTCATCAGCCTAGCCGCCAGACAATGGGCGTCTCATTGAAGAACATCACTAGACCTCAAAGTAGTGCGGCAGCTGGTTCAGTAACAGCCACACAACAGGACAGGAGGTGTGCAATTCTAGACTCGTCATGACAAATCTATTGGATATCATTGATTGATATCATTGTGCGACGTATAAGAGCCATGATGATCACTGAGAATACCAGAAATATGTGGGCCACTGGCCCAGTGGCAAAGCATTTCTCAGGGTGAAGTTGTCAGGTCAAACGTCAACACAGATCAGGTGTAGGGAAGCAATCCTACTTGGATACCTCATCCAATGACCTGCATTTGGGGCTCAAAAAGTCTCCCATAAAATGATGGCAAGACATCAAAGGTATTTTCGAAATGATTTTCCTTCAAATTAAACCTGGTTTTGCAGCTGGGAGGGTACAGTCACAGAGAAGTGACTTGGATTTGAATTCAAGGTTTCCAAGACAGGATCTGCTCTATACACCGGCTTAAATTTGACTTTAATTCCTTGTGAGGATCTGAAATCAAGTCTTTTCTCAAAGGTTCAAAGCACTAGCTGCCTTAAATCTGAATTTAAAACCTTGTGGTCTCCTAGGCGACTGAACTTTAGATTGAAGACCTCCCAAAGTCATTGGCTTTCCATCGAATTTTAATTTTCGCCAGAAAATGCTGGCTCAGGCTGAGGAGGTGGAAGTTGAGACTCCTTCCAAAGGAAGGAGGCGAGAGCCATGGCAGGTTGTGGCGGTGGTGGATGTGCCTGAGTCAGAGTCTCTTCGGGTGGCTGGGCACAAGTGGCTCTCCTCTCAGAAGATTCTTCACAAGACTCAAGACTCTCACCAACTCCTCTCACAATGGGAAAGCAACCTTGATAGCTCGGTGTCTTGCTTGCCAAGATTGCTCTTACCAGCACCGCTTTTCATGGACTGAAGACAACAAGCTCCAGGTTGAAGCAGTTGGCCAGTACACAGAGAACAAGAACACGGCTGTCTTGAAGAGGGCGCATGCTAAAGCTTTTGCGCAGCATTCTCCTTCCAAGGCCTGTGAGTAATGGGAAACATGTTCCCAGTCAAGGCACACGCCAGCCGGTCAGCAAAAACAAAGGCCATGCTGGCCCCGCCAGACCCGTTGACAGGTGGGAAAACTACATGCCGGGTATTGCAGTGGTGTCGAGTGAGCCAGCATTCTTGCATTGTTTTGGCGCTTCAGACAAGGAGGATATCCTATGCCTGGCTCCTGCTTCGAAAGGTCGACGTTGCCGCAAAAAGCGCGTTGTGGGAAACTACTGCAAGCAGCACTATCAGGAGTGGTCAGCCTTGGAGAAGAAGAAGAAGATTTGTGATGCCGTGCCGAAGGTTTTTTCAAAAGGCTGTAGAGTCATGGAGGCATCATCTTCAAGACTTAGTTTTCTTTCTCTTTGGACATTCAAATTTTCTGACGAGGCAATTGAAATCCCAAATGCTTTTGTAGATAAACCCTTCACAACTGTTTTCCTAGATCTCTGACGAGCAGCACCGCTTTTCCCGCGGCCGTGCTGAGGACAACTGGGAGCAAGAGCAATTGAACCTGGCTTTAGAAGTGTCTTCCCAGCAGAGCGCGGAAGCCAGAGATGCTCTCATTGTGAGCCAAGCTGCTGTTACCGCCCGCTTGCAGCCGCTGGGTTTAGAGAGGTTGTCTACTCCTATGGATGGCAATTGCCAGTTTATCGCACTCGCATTTTCAGCCAATGCTCCAATTCTACATGACCAGCTCAGACAACAGATTTGCCAATATATGCTTGCAATGAAAGACTTTTTCAACACCTTGTTCGACCTTCGCTGGGGCAACTTCGAGGCATGTTGCGCACATGGAAGTGGATGGCTCCTATGGGTCCGAATGCACATTGCAAGCAGCAGCGCATTTGTTCCTCCGGCCAGTGCAGGTCATTGGGGAAAACCCAGAGATAGATCGCAAGTTTCTTCCTCCAGAGTCAGTTATGGAGGAGATTTGGGGGCCAGAGGTTGTACTGGCCTATGTCGCTTGGAACCACTACGAAGCGACTGCTGCCTTGGCAAACGTCAAGACCCAGCGTGAAGACTGAACTTCTTTTGCAAAAAAGGCGCGCTGGTGGTGAGCTGGGAGGGGGTTTAGATTTAAATGTAAGACACGGCATTGGTTCCTGAGAGGTGCGCGCCACAGCTGGAATTTGAATTGAAGCCCCCTTTAGGTATCCACATGGCATAGGCAACACAGGTAGCTTAAAATCGAATTTAATTCCTTTTTGGAATTGCTTTCCAGACGCATCCGATAATCAAAAGTGCAAAAAGCCATGTCATCTTGGGGGAGGTAATTTCTGGTTGGGCGTTCTTTTTCACCAAACAGTGTGGACACACTAGGGGTTCTTATGGTAAGTGTTAAGCAGCTGTGCTTAGATCGCTGGGGCGCGCCGAACGTCAACGGCTAATTCACTGCTATTGACAGTGCATTCATGCCTCTCGAAACCCTCGAAGTGCATTTCGACTTCGCAGGCTCGCTGAATCTGGGTGTCTGCGGCGGGTGCTTTAACGACTGTGCTCTCGTTGTGGCGCTGTGCGCATTTTCGCACATGGTGGTCACTTTTCGTGGCAGGCGCAAGGGAAAATTCGTGCTTTTGTGCTCCAAAGTCGACTTTTCGTGACAGGTGCAAGGGATCGGAGCTGTTTTACTTCGAAGTGCACTTTTCGTGGCAGGTGCCATGGTGGTGACCGTCGTGGAGCTCAGATTTCGTGACAGGTGCAGTGAATCGTGACTTTTCGACATGTGGCTCGTTTGCAGGCACAGTGCTGAGTGATCCTCGATGTGCAGATTTCGTGGCAGGCGCAGCATTTTGTGAACCTCGAAGTGCAGATTTCGTGGCAGGCGAAGCGCTTGGTGAACCTCAAAGTGCAGATTTCGTGGCAGGCACAGCACTTGGTGAACCTCGAAGTGCAGGCGCAGCATTTGGTGAGCCTCGAAGTGGAGATTTCGTGGCAGGCGCATCACTCGCTGTACCTCAAAGTGCAGATTTCATGGCAGGTACAGCGCTTGGTGAACCTAGAAGTGCAGATTTCGTGAGAGGCACAGCGCTTGGTGAACCTCGAAGTGCAGATTTCATGGCAGGCACAGCGCTTTGTGAACCTCGAAGTGCAGATTTCGTGGCAGGCGCAGCATTTTGTGAACCTCGAAGTGCAGATTTCATGGCAGGCGAAGCGCTTGGTGAACCTCAAAGTGCAGTTTTCGCAGGCGCAGCACTTGGTGAACCTCGAAGTGCAGTTTTCGTGGCAAGCGCAGTGCTATTTGTGTACCTCGAAGTGCAGATTTCGGCGCAGGCGCAGCAGTTTCTGCTCAGATGCTCACTCTCTCACTCTCTCACTCGCACTCTCACCCTCACTCTCACACTCACGATCCCCTTACCGTCCAAGCCGACCAGCGGACCGGCGGACCAGCGGACCAGCGGACCGGCGGACCAGCGGACCAGCGGACCGGCGAACCGGCGGACCAGCGACCAGCGGACCAGCGGACTAGCGGACCCGCGGACCGGCGCACCGGCGGACCGGCGGACCGGCGGACCAGCGGACCAGCGGACCGGCGGACCGGCGGACCAGCGGACCAGCGACCGGCAAACCGGCGAACCGGCGGACCAGCGGACCAGCGGACCGGCGGACCAGCGGACCGGCGGACTGGGGCGGACCGGCGGACCCGCGGACCGGCGGACCGGCGGACCAGCGGAACGGTGGACGAGCAGGCTGGCGAAGCAGCTTCGGCGGACCAGCGGAGCAGCGACGAGCGGACGAGCGGACCAGCAGTGCAGGCAACGACCAGCGGATAGCGGCTAAGCGGACCAGCGGGCGCCAGCACTTGACATAGAGTCCCACCCTTCCCACCCTTGCCTGCGCCACCAACAGGCCAGCGGACCAGCAGAGATAATAATGGTGGTGGTGATGGGTGTTTTGGTTGTTGTTCTTGTTGTTTTTGCTGCTACTACTGTTTCAGCCCGGGACACTCAATGCGTCCTTGGTCAGGCTTCGCCTTGCTGCTTCGCCGCTTGGCATTTGGAGGCGCGGTGGGGGTTTCGTCTGGCTGTACTAATGAAGTCAATCGCTTTGCCAACAGCTTGCTGCCTGTGTCGCCCATGGCATGAGCCTTTTCACTTGGCCGCATCGTCTTCTTTCATCCTCAAGCTGCTGGCCTTGTCTCTTGATTTCTTTCATCGGCGCATGATTGCAACCGCGGTCGAAAACATGACTTGCAAACATCTACCGTGCTTCTGCTTTTGAACCAGCATGCAAGTATGCAAGTTGCCGATTGCAAGCGCGAGACCCGCAAGCCACCCTGCTATCAGCAAACATCAATCTAGCATTTTCTTTTTTTCATGCAGCTGCAATGACGAATCCACAGCATCAGTGCCATGGGGTCCTTGCGCAAGCCATTTGTGACGCTGACCCGGCTGCGCAAATTTCGCCAGAGCTAGTCCATCATTTGGCGACCAGATTAGAACCGCTCTTCAACCAAAGGGTTGCTGTTTTCGGCCGGGAAAGCAAAGCTCAAGAATTGGTGCCGCAGCTTGTTGCTTGCCCTGGGTGCGGAGGACGACTTGCTGAATGTCGGAGCTCCGCTGCTGCAGCTATCGTCGTAGATCTGTCGGGTTTGGTCCAGAAACAACACATTCCACTGAGATGTCGGCGATCCTCCTGTCCAGACTTTGGTGTGCTGCTGTGGTACAACTATACCGTGCGGAGTGGGTGCCATCATTTTGCAGGAGAGCTACCTGAGTTGAACTGCTTCATGTTGTCCGCCACCTTCGGCTTCAGTGTCCCCTGGTTGCAACAGTTTCACGTACGCAGGGTGAGGCAACATGCGTCTTTCACAAGTGAAGCAGATGTGCTCGGCGCGCAGGCAGCTTACAATTCCCAGCTC